GGCAGGGCATCACTAAGCTGTATGTTGCTTTAAAGACTGCCCATCAGCACCTCCGCTGGATCCATTTGCCATACTTAAAGCCAGTTGAGGGGATAAAAACAAAACGGCCATTTCTGCACACAGAAATACACAGAAATAGGACCAGGTTTAGCCAAAATGGAGACTATTACTCCTCTTTGAAGGAGAGTCGTCCTGCTGGTCCTGCACACTGAGTACTTGAGCTGCATCCTTAACTTGTTTATTCAAGATCTTTTTAGATGTAGGCATTTACTGCTGCATGCTGCTCTTAGTGCTGCTTTGCTGTTCCCACAAGTGATTACATATTGTGTTTCCATTTTTCATTTGAGAAATTCTTAAATTTCCCTTCTGACTTCCTCGATGGCCCTCTATTCTTTCAAAATCGTTCAGGCTCCACACATCTGTATAATTTCTAAATTTTATTTTGTTGATAACTTCTGGTTTTATTCCGTTCTGTCCTAGGCTGATGTATATTCTCCAGCTGTTGGATACACAGTTCTCTAAGTGCTATTTATTCAGCAGCAGTGGTGGCAAATCTCTGAGGCGCATGCCACAGCCGGCTATTTGGTATCATTGAATACTTTAAAGGATTTGCAATCACTGATCTGTAGTGTAGTCTAATTTCGATATTGCTGTGTCCTTTCTGGTTGAGTCTAAGATGGTCTTCCTATTGTTGAAAGTGAAATGTTGTAATTATCCACCATTATTGTAATGGAACCTGTCTGCCTTAAATTTTAATAGTGCTTATTTTATACAGTGGGTACCCTGACACTAGGTTCATACTGAATTATAATTGTTACATCTTCTTGTTGAAATGCTTCTTGATCATTATATAGTGACCTTGTCTCTTTTTTTTTTTACAGTATTTTTCCTAAAGTATTTTTCCAGATATAAGTATAGCTATTCCATATTAATTTTTCATTTTACTTGGCATATCATTTCCCATCTACTTTCAGTCTGTATGTCTCTTTACTATTAAAGTGTCTTTTAAGCAGCACATCCTTCGGTCTCTTTTCTTTTATTTTCCTAATCCATTTAGTCAGGTTGCATCTTTAATTGGGTTACTCTTAATAGGTAGGAACTTAGTCCTGTCATTTTGCCGATTTTCTTCTAGTTGATTTGAATAGTCCTTGTTCTTTGCTCCTTTCATTCTTTTTGTGGCTTGATGGCTTGCTGTGTAGAAAGTGTCTGGCTCTAGTTTGTGTCTTTGCTACATGGATTTATACTGTCACATGCCTTGGTGATCTTAGTTATCTTAATGTTTTATTCCTGGATCTAGAACTCCCTTAGGTTTGTCTGGTGGCCATGCATACATTCAATTGCTTTTAAGAAGGTCTTTATTTCTTCACTCCCAAAGAATAACCTTGCTGAGTACAGTAATCTTCATTAGCAATTATTTTCTTTTAAAATTTGGAATATATCCTCTACTCCCTCATACCTTGTTTTTGTTGAAAAATATGCTGCTGCTGATCCTTAAATATCCTGATGCTTTTTCTCTTGCATATTTCAAAATGCTTTTTCTTGTAATTTTTGACAGTTTGAGAATAATATCCTGTGAAGATCTTTTCTGATTGTGCCATTTATAGGTCTGTAAACCTCCTGTTTGTGGATGCCAGTATTTTTTACAAGATTAGGAGAATTTTTTGCTATTATTTTATTGAATAGGTTTTCTGTGTCCTTAGCCTTTATCTCCATGTCTTTGAGTATTCCAGAAATGCAGCTGCTTGTTTAATGGTGTCACAAAGATCTTGAATGCTGGCTTCATTTTGTTGTTGTTGTTAGTCAAATGGAATATTTTAAAAGATTTTTCACATTCAGCTATTACTTTCACTTGATCTGGTACATTGTGGAGGCTTCCTATTATAGTTTTTATTTTTATCAAGATTTGTTTACTTGGTTAAAAATTGCTCTCTTTGTTCAGTTTCTCATTCATATTTCTGGAGTATCTAATTTTACTTTTTATTCTCTTAGATTTTATTGAATTTTTTAAAATAATTTTAAATCTTTATCAAGCACTCTGTCCAGTTCATTTCTTTACAGTATGTTGCTAGAAGGTTATATTCTTTGGGGACATCATATAACCTTGCTTTTTAAAAATTTCTTCTGTGCCTATGTGGACATTTGTGCATCTTGTGGATCAAATATGTCTGCTACTTTTATGAGGTGGGCTTCTTAGGAAGTGGCTTCTTCTGAAGATGAGTCTTAGGATCTGTTTGTTGCTATGCATTTCATCATCAAGTATGGACACTGAAGTAGCCCAAAGCTTCTTCTGCTGTAATTAGTGAGTGGTGGAGTCAGAGAGAGCCGTTTCTCTGTGGCCCTGTAAGAGTGCAGACACCATCAGCTCAGAGAATTGTGGTACCCACAGACATGGATGTAAGCGATCTCTGCAGTGGGAGTAGAGGCTTTCCTGGAGGGCAGGGTTTCCTCGGGTACTCCTGATACCTTCTCTGTTACTAGAAGGTGACTCTGCCAGTGGCAGCACCATCAGTGGTAAGGATCTTGAAGCACTGGTCCTTTGACCAGGTGGTGGTGAGGATCCAGATGCTGAACAAGGAGAGGTGGTGACTGGACCTGCATCACCCCTCGGTGGTATTCACAGCCAGTCATGACAGCATGAACACTATCAGGTGACATGGACGGTGTGAGCTGCCTTGGTAGGCTGGCAGCAGAAACTGTGGTGTTCTTTGCTGTTCCTATGGTGGTGCCCCCACAGGAGTGGAGCAGAGAGTTGCACAAAGCTATGTTTGGCTCCCCCATATGCATCTGGCATCAGACAACAGCAAAAACTGTGGAAATTCTCAGTGTCCTTAGCACTCCCCTGTGGGGGAGCAGCAGTGGGACCGATGGTACTCCCTCCCTGCCCAGTGACAAAAAGGCACACAAGTAATACAGACAGGGAACCCAAGTACCCCATTGCCACTTGGCTGCAGTCCTGGAGTAGGCACGCGTCTCCATGCAGCTAGCTAGTTCCATGCTCTGAGGGAAGGAACACTGATCTTTTGTTTCTTAAGCACAGTGCTATCTGTCCCACTCTATGTCACAGCCCCCAGTGGGCTTGAGTGACAGTCTGTCTGCTTGGCCAAGCTGGATTGTTGGGCTGCTATGCCCGGAACCAGTGCCTTGGAATGTCTGTGAGGTCCCATGTTTTGGAATATGGAGGGGCTTCTGATCCTAGATCAGTCCCAACTCAGATAATAGCCCTTTCTCAAGATGATTCCTAGCCACGGAACTCAGAGAGCTCACCAGGAAGTGATGTGAAACTCCTTTTCCAATTCAAGACTACTTGTTACTTTACTTGTTGCTGAGACAAAATACCCAACACCCAAAGTGGAAAGTTTATTTCAGCTTACACTTAGTAGAGGTTTCAGTCCATAGTCAGCTGGCTCCAAGGCCAGGGAGGCATCACAGAGGAGAAAAACGTCATGGCCTGACAGCACAGGCACAAGGCAGAAAGCAGCAGCCTGCCTTCTTTCTGCCCTTTATATTTTATACAGGCTGTAAGCCTGTTGATAGTGCTTCCCTTTCCCAGGGTGGGGCTTCCATTATCCACATACTTAATCTACAGTCACTCACTAATGCAGCCACCTTCAAAACACCATGTCATTGACTACATGAAGCTTGGGGTTGGCAGGGAGCCTGCATCTAGACAGGAGCCATACAACTATGCAGATTTGAGGTCACTTACCTAAGTAAGCGCCAAACAAGTGAGCATTGGGAAGGTCCTAGTCTGTCTTGCTGAGTTCCAGTGTTCTCTGTGATAATTTCAAAATGCAGCTATATACTAGTTGATTTGGTACTTGTTTTTGGAGGCTTATTGAATGCCAGGTTATCTGTCTTCAGCTGTCTTGTCTTCTCGGGGTTCTCGCCCTTTTTTAAAATGGCGATAGTTTCCATGTTTTTTAGTGTTATCTACCAAGATCAAAGATACACGTTTATTAAACTAAAAGTTGCACTTCTTTAGAAGTAATTACCAGTTGTGGTGGGTTGTGACCTGCCCCAGGGATTGGTGCAGCACACACTTCTGGGAGTGACTAGGTGGTTTGTGGGGCCACAAATGTGCTTACTATTCTGGTCCCCAGCCCCCACTCCAAACACCTGGCATCTCCTGTCTGACATTCTTTCGCTGCCCTGCCTCATGGGCATCATGAAGTAACCAGCTTTGTTTCACCATGCTCTTGCACTGTGTTGTCTTTACCTTGGGGCCAGCCAGTCAAGGGCCACACCATTAGGAAATCAAGCGTCTCGTCCTTTAAGTTATGAATGCTGAGTATTGTGTCTCAGTAACAAGGAAGCTAGTACAACAGTTATTCTATTAGATATGTCCCTGAGGTCATAGTAACTGCCTCACTTTACTTGAGCACATGTGTGTAACATACAGGTGCCTTTCTCAGTATTTTGTACCAAAACAATGTAACATTAGAAATCTTAGAAAATTAGTAGTAGGTGTTTAGACTTGCATTTTGTCTCTGTACTTTTAATTAAAAATAAAAGACTATAAAAAATAACAGATGATTTAAATGTATGTATTTCATAGTAATTGATTAAAGAAAAATTTGGTAGGATTGCCAACAATTTTTGCAAATTATTTGAAGCAAATTCTCTATCTCTGCATAATGAAAAAATACAAAAATAGAATCTCAAAAGATACTAAGTGCATTTTTATAGAGCATAATAATCACAAAAGTTTAATTACAGGTGCAAAAAATATTATGAATTTTAGGAAGACCCAGAATGTTTATGTGTACGTATTTCAGTATACAATATCTATAGGTATAATTGTTTTAAAACTGGGAATTATCCTGTTTAAAAACAAAGTCAAAACAGGTAATATTTTGTTCTGCGGAAATGTGGATGAGTACATTTGTAAATACAATGAAAACTAGTATTTTAGCATAAGATGATGAGATAAAACTTCTGTTATAGTGTCTTCATTTTAACCTCAAGGTTTCAATGGTGTCTCTCTTGTGAAATCTCCACAGATGGTTCACAAGCACCAGCCAGACCTCCCAAACCCAAACCCCGCAGGACTGCACCGGAAATTCACCACAGAAAACCCCATGGGCCCGAGGCAGCCTTGGAAAATGTTGATGCAAAGATTGCGAAACTCATGGGAGAGGGGTATGCCTTCGAAGAGGTGAAGAGAGCCTTAGAGATAGCCCAGAATAATGTCGAAGTGGCCCGTAGCATCCTCCGAGAATTTGCCTTCCCTCCTCCAGTCTCCCCGCGTCTGAATCTATAGCAGCCAGAACTATAAACGCCAAAATGCAAAGCAGCTGACAGATATTCCAGGAGTACAGAGAGAGAAGATAGAGATGGAGCTCGAGAGGGAAGCCGCCTTCTCGCGTGGCATCTTGAGAAGGGGGCTCGGGAGCGCAGCTCCTCAGGAGAATGCTGCGTGCTCAGGATGTCGACGCTGCAGCCCCCTTGTGTTGCTAGCCATACTTCTAAATCAGGGTTGAACTGACAAAAATAATTTAAAGACATTTACTTCCCTTGAACATTGAATCTGTGAAATGCTTTTCCTTGTTTACAAGTTGGCAAAGTTGCAGTTTTTGTTTTTGATACCTGTACTGTGTTCTTGACAGACCCTTGGCAGAGTGGTTCCTGTCTGCTGTAACATTTCTTATAACCGTAACCTCTCTTGCTGTCCATGTCAACAGCAAAATCACATCTTCATGTGATTTCTATCATCTACCATCTACTTCCTGCCCCAGCCCCCAGGTCCAGTTCCATTTCTACCATTTACAAAATGCTTTAAAGGTTCTGATTTTCAACATATCAAACTAAGGCAAAAAAAAAAAAAAAAAAAAAAAACTGTGCAGTCTTCACTACTGAGTCTTTTCTTTGGAAACCATCACTTTTGAGAGATGAGGAAAAACCTGAATGTATTAAACCATTTATTAATAAACTGCCTTTTATTATAAGGGGGTTTTACCTAATCTAGAGGAGCTTGCCTTTGTTAGTTTTAAGTTTTATATCCTTTCTATTCCATATTGTCCATCTCCATCCCAGGGGTGCCATGGCACTGGAAAAAGTAAAATACTAGCTAGAAAGCAACTACTGCAGACAACAGAGAGAAACACTTGCACAAGAATGTGCCATAACAGTCCAGTGAGGTCCTCGGGTATTTATGTCTGAATTACTTTCAGGTATGACGAATAAGAAGGCCATCTCCTGAAGTATATTAATAAACTTCCATTCAATCAAAGACACTTTTCCAAAGTGGAATAGAGATCTTTTCCTATTTGAGTTGATGATGCCATGATTTATAACAGCTAAAGGACCTACTTCCTGTTACATTGGAAATGTTAAGTCTTCAATGCACTGTTATGTGCTGATGCTACTGTGGCAGTTTTGTTTGCAAAGTTCTTAGTAATTTTCTCTCCAGTAGGTTTCATACTTAATTTGTAAATTCTCTCATTAGTCCACACTGCTCCATCCAGGTAAAAGTAATATCTAGTTTTGCCTTTTTTGCAAAATTGCAGTTGATTCTTCACAAACTTAGTACTTTCCATAAATTGCAAATATGGTGTATCTCCACTGTACTTGGTGCTGTTATGCACTGTGTTTTTTAAGCACAAACTCTCATGATTTACTTTTTATTCCTAATGAGAAGTTAGTGGAAAAATGAGATAAAGCTGTAAAATGCTTGAACCCACTGGAAGTTTTCTAAATATGGACTAATTGTGGGTTTGTGCATGTTTCTGCCACTGTTTTCTTCACACCAATGTGATGTAAAAAAAAAATGCATTAATTTTAGGACGAGACTCAAGAAGACAAAACATATAAAGTTTGATAGATCTGGTGAATTTAATATGCAAGACTCACGTTGACCCAGAGAGGAGAATGAAAGCATTTCTTTGCAAAGTGACACGTGCCTGTTCTTACATCTTGCTCTTGTGGGATGAGAGGATACTTAGGGATATGTGCAGGCCTTGGATAGTTTTTGCACTTAAATGACTTTCTCGTGATTCGGAGCTGGTTTTGTCCCTGAAGAATTTTTAATTTGCTCTATATATTCACTCTGTGAGTAGTTATGAATATACTTTTTTATACTTTGAAAATTGCATTGGATAATTTTTTACTGCTTTCTGAACTCCAGGTTGTATCATCATGACTTTTCAGTTATATTATTAGTTTTTGATGTCACATTGGTTTTATGACTTGGGCACGGTAAGTACAGTCTAAAAGCCAAAAATTGCCACTTTGTTATGATAATACTGCCATAACAGTATGGCCTATATACTGGCCAATATATGGCCAATATAATTTAGGGAATGTTGTAAAATAATGTCAGGAAGCACCGTCCATTCTCATTCAGTTTTCACATAACACTTTGAAATTTTCAATAGGAAGTTGAACAGTGTCATCAGTTTGGACTGAAAGTTCGGGATGGTACAATTTATAAATGCTTTTCTAGCACCTACCACAAACTGTGCATCTTGTACTCAGTAGCACTCATAAGTTTTGTCTTTAACAACCATGAATCACGAAGTCATACAGAATAGAAGAGGAAAGCTTTCTCTCAAACACTGCCATGAAACTCATAGCTACCTATTGCCTATGACATCACTCTCCAAAGAATATTTTTAAAGAAATATTTAAACAAAAATATTTTTTCATTATAAAAGTAACTACCTGTTAGTGCTTGGAGATGATCCAGACTTGGTTTCACTGTGATCCAGAAACTAGACATTCCTATTTCTCAAAATTTGCTACCATAATACATTTTAAACCAGTATTTAATATCTGTAAGATTAAAAATCATGGCCAATATAAACCCTCATCCCCAAATATGTTCAAGGAGTAAAAAGATTTATCTTCATCAATATTTCAGTAAATGTATCTCCAATCTCTTGTTTTGCCCTTTAGTAGCTGGTACACTCTAGCCAAGTTTTTAGAATAGAATCAAAGCATTTTATGCTTAACTTGAACTTCCAGAAATCTAACCTTTGGCTGGTTCCAGTCACTCCTTGCCACACTGCAAACAGACTTAATAATTGAGCCCTTATTGCAACCTCAAAGGGCCCACTTGTTAACACAGTATTTCATGCATCAAGAACAATTCCTGAAAGTTTCTGCATAATGTGAATTTTCGATAATTTTTCAGTTCCAGAAGCATTTCTTGTACATTACATTTCTTCTCAGATTTTCAACTTGAAGTTTTAATTTGCACTGAGTTATCTAATCTGGTTTAAAAATGCCTCTCAAAATGACAGATCTGGAAGCAAATTACAGTATATTTTAAATAATGCAGGTAGTGCCTGTTATCCTGGAATTTTAGTGCTTCTAGGAAGAGTTTCCAGAAAAAGCAATAGAGTGAAGAGTTCCTTTCTGGTTTCTATTATATTGTTTTAATGCCTTTTTAAAAATGTGTCTAAAGTGGCAAAATAGTTATGTGTTTAATTTATATTTTATCCATTCTTTTTCAATTCTGGTTATTATGTAACCTCAAGTATTTTTTTCTGTTCTTTTAAGGTATTTTATAAACTGAATGTTAACAAAATGCAGAGTTCGTACTTTATTTTTCAAATGAACAAAAATGTCTTTCAGAGTACTTCTAAGCTGTAATTTTTCTCAGTGTTCAGAACTGATTGAACAAATGGTACAAAGCAGCCATCAGAGATGATTTATTAAAACAAGCCATGTCACTAAGATAGTCTTACACACTACTCTCATGTCATAGATCTGGAAGTCAAAGTCATATTAAAGGTGAGGGAAATAACCATTCCCAGGAAAGGCTGTAGGTCTTCACATGATATATTGGATAGCTGAGAATTCTCAAATCAACAGTAATACCTGTTCTTAAAACACGTGATTTTTCTAATCATTGGTCACTGGCCAATATATACTAGAGACAAAACATTTTTAAAATACTAATCATATCAAAAACAAAAAGTGCTGTAAAATTAATTGGGACATTTAAGATTTAAACATAGCAATAAATTATTCCCTTGAAGCACATGAAAAGAGCAGCTAACTCCAGTAGAGTAAATGTGGGTAGGACCCCGCATTAAACCACCATTCCATGCTATGGTAAATGCTTAAGAGTTCTCTGGCCCCTAAATATGTGTGAGGAACCTGGTACTGAGCCATTCAATCCTTTAATCCTGTCTCGTGTAGAACTGGTGGAAAAGTTAAGAGAGTTTGAGGAGTCCTAGGATGAATAGCATTTGTCAGCCTTAAAAGGAACAAGTTCAATTTTTTGTTAAGAAATTCAGATAAAGCTTTCCAACTAGGAACTGCACACATGATAAAATAGTGTTATTTAGGCAAAGGCACATGGTCAGGGCCCTGAGTCCTGGGAGCTGTGGCAGGAGAAGCCTTTACTGGTGGTCGGAGTTGACAGTAACCAAGGAAATGAGCTGAGACCTTTGGATACACAGGAAGTAGGATGTTCCTCACAGGCCACACCAAATGACAGCAGGCTGAAAGGAAATTTAATTGGCATGCTTTATGTCCTCTGAGTTCTAAAGAGAAACTGGAAAATAACTCATAATTAGCTGATTATTTTTGCTGAGTTTTCATCCCTACCACCATGTATCTTAGGGCATTGAATTATGGGTCCCCTGGAATTTTAAATTGCCTGGAATTGGCTTCCATCACTCTAAAGCAAGGAAGGGTGGAGTTTCTGAAGTTCGACTGTAATGTTACCCCCTTTTTTTAATTTTAAAGAAAATAAACCACAAAGATCAAAACAACACAAGCAACACAGGATTTCAAGACAAGACAACAGGAAATCAACTGTGGCTACCACAGTGTCTCCTATTCTGAAAATAGTTACCTATATCTTCACACACTGAATTCAGATGAAACAAAACAGTATGAAACTGATCAAAACAAGAATGAAAGCATTACCAGCCTTCAGAGCCTGACAGGAAAGTCAACACTGGCTACCATAATGTCTCTTGTTCGCTTCGAAATAGCTGTCCATACCTTTACATGTTGAAATCAAATAATAGAAAATAGACTAAACCAAGTCAAAAAAGAATAAAAGCACTATTGGTCTTCAGAACAAAACAAAATCAGCAATGGCTACCATAATGTCTTATTTTTTAAAAGTAGCTGTTCATACTGTTAAACATGATACAATCATTTCTTGTAAGTTCTATAGAAGTTCTAGGCATGTATAAGCCTATACATGTACATCTATCTTTTCTGTGTTGGAAAAACAAAGCAAAACACAAGAAAAACAAAAAACAACAGAGACAATAACTGCCCAAAACAATAATACAGAATTTCAAAACAAGAGGGGCTGTGGATTTAGCTCAGCGGCATAAGTGCCTGTCTTGCAAGCAGGCAGTTGTGAGTTCGATCCCCGGTACTGATAAAAACGAAAACCACAAAAAAAAAAAAAAAAAAAAAAAAAAAAAATCTAAAAAAAGAATTTCAAAACAAGGTGGTAGGTACATAACTAAGGTGATTATTTTACATAGGTCTCTTCAAAAGGGTTACTCAGATTATCAGCTGCAAACATGCAAAATTGGCCTAATCCTATAGTTCTTAAGATCTAATCCTTAAGAGTTCTTACCTCTTCTGCAAGCGCCTTGTCCTCTCAGAAAGATGGACTCCAATCTGCATACTTCGTTACACTTCTCCCCCGCACCAGCCGCTCTTCATTTCTGCTTGGCTTTCAGTTGTCCAAATTTCCCCGTCAGTTCATGGTCATTCTGCTACATACCTCTTTCCTTCTGCTTTTCTAGCCTGGAAAAATCTTTATTATTAAAATTCAGCTCCAGAACCACCTCTGTCAAACACTTGCTGTCTTGTCCTATACGTGAAGCTGAGGATGGTGTCTTTGTGTCACACAGCACCCTTGTAACACTTGCCTCCTAGGTTTGCAGAGAAAGCTGTCTGCTTTTGAGTTTTCGGCGGTGGTTTGGTTTTGGTTTTCTTTTTTAATTAGTTTATGTTTTCAGTACATACTCTGCATTCTTTCTGTGGAGTCCATACATGTACCCTCTATCACATCTTAGTTTCTCTTTGTTAAAACATTCCCTTTTCCTCCCGTATCTTGGTCTCCTCTGTTTGGAGCCCAGCACAAATACACACAAATAAGTTTCCAATAAATGAACTGATGCTTTCAGCAGCCAATGGCAATATCCACCTCTGCCATTTCCAAGCTTTGTGATCTTAGAAAAGTGTTCTTTCTGTGCTTTAATCTCCTCTTGTGTAAAATAAGGATAGCAACTATGTCTACAATAAGGTTAATCAAAGGACCCAATGACTTAATAGAGTAGTGCCTGAGCAAATGCTTAATAAGAGATAACTATCATTACCATAGACCTGTGGTGGCGAACCTGGCAGAGCTTTCAGTGGTAACAGCTAGTTGTGGCATGTGTGATACACCCCACCCAGAAAACCTGACACTCTTTCATCTTCACAATTGACAGCAAGGAGAAGCATGTCTGATTTGTACTATTCTTTCACATCGTCAGGTGTGGTCAGAGTAGTCTTAACAGTGAACAGAAAGTTTCTGTTGAACTGAGGACAACGTGAATCTCAAGAAGCAGCACATCGTGCCAGCCAAGTCCACAGTCTTCTAGACATGGTGCTTGTATCCCCACTGCACCTCCACTCCTGTCTGCTGTTCAAAGCCTACTGCAAAGTGCACATTAGAAAGAGGTGAGCTAGGGGAATTGTTAAGGGCAGTTTGAATTCCTCAAGAGCTACTTTCAAGTTTAAAAGCTCATGCAGGTACAAACAATAATTTGCCCTTAGATTATACAGAAAAATAGCATAAATAGTGGGTCCCTTTAGGTCTCACAAACACAATGTGGGAAGATACTGAAGAATACTTTTTCTTTATTCCTGGAAAGAGACTAAAATCCCAACTCTGAAAAGAACACTTGATAACTAAGTGATTCCACATTCTGAAGAAGGCCTCTAGTAAATGTCTGTAGGACTCACACATGGCTAAGGCAGAATGCATTATGCAGGACTGAAGGCTCAAAGTTTAACCTGGGAGACACGAAAGAGGGCCGAGAAATTTGTATGTTGATTCCATCTCCTCAGTCAAGTAATGATAACTCCAAGAGAAAGCTAACCATGAAACTGGCATCTTATGCCATTATGTATATATGCACTAGACTTCACCATCTTGCATCTGTATTTAAGCAGAAAAACTATACAACAGTCAGTCATGATCCAGCTGAGAGATTGCCACCACTGGGAGGACAAATACATCATGATCCCCAGGAACAAAAGGGCCCTGTCATTGCAGCTGGGCCTTGAACTATCTCAACAAAAACCAGGAGGGCTACTTGCTAGAGCTCTGGGATTTATGTAGCTTGACCAGACACAAGAGAGTCAAGTTAGAGAAGAACATGCATTTGACATGAGTGATAAGGTCTACATTCAGAAATCCACATCACAAATGAAGCAGAAAATCAAGGACACACTACTATAGGATCTTCTTCACGCCATTTCCCAAACCTGAGGAAGCAGAAGCCTAAGAATGAGGAAGAGTGATAGAAAAGAGTAGATATTTCATGCTCTCTCCCCTGAGATCCTGAGATGGAGACCTGGCCATGCCCAGGATACAGTGTACAGGGGAGGAGGAATTAAAATGCAGGTGACAGGAACAAGAGAATCAATAATCAAAAGCAGTAATTCCAAAACAAACATCAATTTACCGTGTTAGCATCTATCAGGTCCAAAATGTTTGATAAACTGTCAACTAAAATATCTCATTTTAAATGGACTTGTCTGATTTTCTTAGTTTCTAAAAATTATCTAATCAGAGAGCCATGAGGAGAAGTTCTCCAGGAAGGTGTTTTGCACTGGGCAGGTCTATTTTACTTCTCCAAAAATGCTTCTTCCTTGGTAAACTCAGTTCTGCCCAAGCCTCAACCTGCAAATAAAGGTTGACCACCAAATCTTCTATAGCAGAAACCCTCTCCTCTACCAGCCAAGACTGAAGGGCTGAACATCAGTAAAACTCTCCTTTCTTTATGGGTACGTCTGTCTTGGTAAACCATTCACACCTTGATAGTTGGTTTGTTTATGAACAAAGTATGATAGGCACAAAATGAAATAGAGAGCAGCAATTTAGCTAAAACATCAATGAGTATCCTGAAATTATCCTGATAAAGAGCCAGTATTCCTACAGAACCATTCCAATGTAAGATGAAAGGTATTTTCACAGAGATTTTTAACCACAAGTGCCTAGGCCTTAGGCTATTTAAACATGAACCAAAAATAGCAGTGCTAAGGCATTTATTTATATAAATGTTTAATCAAGAGCAATGTGAAATGTGTTTATCTGGAAATTCTTGCAAAATAAGGGAGAATAAATGTCTAGAGCAAGACTAATGTATCTCTACTGGGCATTTTAATCAGTACTAACATAATTAAATATTTATATAGCACTTTGGCATTGGGAAAGTGTAGATTTTGTTTCAAATGCTGTATATCTTAAAACTCTTGTGAAGTACATTCATTACACTTGATATCCTCCCTTTGCACATCGAGACAATTTATAAGCCAAAGCGTATAAATTCATTT